TTATTTTTTATTTATGTGTGTTATTAGTACTCTCTCTCTCACCGAATATAAATACTTATTATTTTTTAACAGAAGTGAAGCCATTGAGAGTCGATGCTGAGTGTTTCTTGCAATCAATAATGCACTCAATAATGGAATCAATGCGCATGGAAAGTATTAAAATAAAAGGTGGTTTTTAATAATTTTAATAATTGTAGAAAAATATTAGGGGATTTAGGGTCGGTTTGTTAGTGGAAGATTGATTCATCGCATACGTTGTAAAGACCGGAAAATCATTTTGGTGCGTGCGTTTTTGACACTACAATCATTATTCTCCCCATCATAGACATTTTGCAAAAAACATCCAGCATTGGCTCTTAATGGCCTTATTCCTGTTAAAAAATAATAAGTATTTATATTCGGTGAGAAAGAGAGGGGGGAGAGAGAGAAAGAGAGTACTAATAACACACATAAATTAATTTCTATTAATATTTAAAACTTAGGTGTTACTTATAAAGAGCCTTAAGATATTTATATTATTTTTTAGATATTTTTTTCAGTGTAGTAGAGCAGAAATAAACTGTCAATGAGATCTATCTTGGAATACGGTAAAATTCACTGGAAACACAGTAAATTCTTTAATGGCATATTTCACAGTTTCTAGAATATAAATTACACATATGCAAATGAAAGGATAAATATAAAAATGAAAGGATAAAGGATAAAGAAAGCCAGAATACTGCAGAATGTTGATTTATTCCTTCATAAAATTCTACACAATGATTCGATCGCTTCTGTGTAGCACGAACTGAATTTTCTGAACACTCACAGTCTAATTTTTATTTACGATAATACGTTATATCGCTATGTATAAATAAATCGCTATGTATAATCGCATCTGCATAAGAATATTAATGTCCCTCTTGTTGCAACAATATCCGTGTTTTTCGTTGAGAAACTTTTCCTCTTTCATTTTTCTTTATCTCATTGCGTCTTTAAATCGTGCTCTGCACCGCGCTTTTGATATCGAATGGTAAAGCCAATACGTGACGTTACAACGTAAGCCGCTGGATTTATTCGCTCGCTTCCACTTTTTCTTATCGCATTCCCGTTTTACCTTTCACAATTTCGGTCACATCGCTCTCTCTCTCTCTCTTTCTCTCTCTCTCTCTCTCTCTCTCTCTCTCTTTCTCTCCCTTCTCTCTACCTCTTTGATTGAAATATATAAATATAAATTTTTGCACCAACGGGACACGGCGGCTGCGCTGTACTCCCTTTATTGAATGCCGATACCGACTGGGAATCCTCTCTCGCGCGGTTTCCTCTTTGGACTTCTTTTCACTCGTATCCCATCGGAACTTTCTTATCTCGCGAAGCGTTGCTCGATGATGTCACGCGTGACAACGCGCGACGCGATGCAAACGGAGTCTAAAGTTACGCTTCACGCGGAAGTATACGAGATAAGACCGGTTTCGCATTCGAAAACTTTTACATATTTTTATTTCGCGACGAGGAAAGGGAAGGTAGGAAAGGGAACTCGCGATTCAATTTTCATCCTCCGCGATTTACCCCTCTCCCGCCTGCCGAGTCCCTTTATTCTCGAGATTCGACCGTCATTAAATAGAAATTTCGCAGAAATAGAGAAGTATACGTAGCGGAATCTTTCCTTTACTCATTGCTGTCCTGAATATAAATGCTCCCAATCTACATACGTAAACCCCGGCGCAGGTTTCGCGCTGTCTTCCCCTTTTTCCCGTCGAACGCCAACAATGAGTAGGAAATCGCGTATTTACCGCGTTTCCCAAGCAGAAATCTTTTTCATTTTATCGTGTCCCTCTCTCTCTCTCTCTCTCTTGGCTATCTCGTCGAGCGTGGATTGTCTTGCTCTCCCTCGTTCTGCTAGCGCTCGGACCGCATGAAAGAAAACGGAGCTTGCGTCTTCGCCGCGTCCATGTTTCGCCACCACGTGGCCACATCGCGCCGACGAGGCAAAAAGGAGATCTTCGTACCGGCGACGGGATTGTAGAGAGAGAGAGAGAGAGAGGGGGTGGAAGGAAGGGATGGAGAGAAGGAGAAGGAAGGAGTCCGGAGTTCCCTACAGGCTACGGCGCTAATTGAACCTTAAATCCAACGATTAGCCGTACGAAGCGTGTAATTGTGAGCGCCTGTAGGACACGCGGTAGCTAACGTTAATTTAATTAAACCTTGCCGCCGTGCGCCAAGAACGTCCTGACCGACTGCGCGAGCAGTCCGCTCTCGCGGAGCTGCCTCGCAAGCTCGCGCGGAAATTCGCTCGCGTCCGGAGAGGTCGCCGTAATTTCGATCGCAGAAATTTTCCATAACTCCGACACACGGCGAAGCGCGCCACACGCCGTCGATTATCGCGTCGCCGTTCCTCCTCGCGATTATTAAACGCGCGCGCGAATTATTTTCGACGCCGCGTAGCTGCAGCCGTGCAGGAAATTTCAGCTCGCGCTTTCAGCACGGCTGGTGGGTTTCGCCGTGTGTGTAATCGCCGATTTTCGGTTTACCTGATTTTAATGAACTTCAATGTCGGCTCTTGAGAGATCGCAGCGACGGGGATCTCCCGTCTGTCTCGCGAGGCGTGCGCTCCCTTTAATTGGGTGCTTAATACTTAACGCCGGTGACGGTTTGCCGACTGGGTCGATTTAAATCTTTGAAGCCAAGCTTTAAGGAGGATCACGTGGCGTCTCTCAGATGGATTAAACGACTCCGGTACGCCGCGTGGGCTTCTCAAATCTCAGCTTTAAACAGTAATTCATTCGCGTTCCGCGGCTATCGCGAATAATCGCTGTTCGCATTCGCGCAGCGCGGCCTAATCTCCCCTCCCATTTCTACTCTTCCCTAGAAATGCGGAAGTTATTTCTCGTTACTATTTTGATAATATGTTCGAATGGCTGGCGATACTGTAGATTGCGAATAAACGAGTTTCGCGATATACCGCGATAATATAAGTATGCAAACACTGCTGCGACGGAAGATAACTCTTAATCATTTCTTTCGACATGTCGCACGTAAGATCTCCTGGCCAATATTCTGAATTATGTTTCGAATTAAAATTAACAGCATTATTTAAGATAAACTAGTTTATTAGTTGTACATCAGTTTCTGACAAGAATTCTGTGACATCATTAGGCGGAATTTTGCAAAAACTTGACATGTACGCGCCAGAAGAAGCCGAAAGCTTTCTCATAACATTTTCTACATTTTTGCTGCGCGAACATTTCCCTGCATAACATTACCTGTACTTTAGAAAGGTCGATCGAGCTACATATTGTCGATTTTCTTCTACGACCCGCAGATTTTCGCAACTTTTTTAAATTGTAAAATAAACTGCACTGCGAGAAAAGTCTTGAATACATCTTTGAAAGATTTCTGAGGAATGTCTGGAAGTATGATAAAATGCTACCGGAAAATTACGATAAGGAAATTCTACTTGCTTTTTAATGGTGACTCTGTATTGTCAAGATAACAATTTTAAAATAACAGTTTTACCACAAAAGAGAAGAAAAAGTATCGCAAAATACTATCTCGTCAAAATCTGTCACATTCTCAGTTGAAGTATCGCAAGGAATACTTCGGGTTAATGTTAACGTTGATTGCTTGGCAACCAATATATTAAGTGATGATCAATGAATTAGGTAAAAACATGCATTAGATAAGGGCCATTGGTAATCATACAGAGTAGAAAATGTGACTTTTGGCCAGTGAGGTTTTGCTCAGATGCTTACACTGCGTGCCGGCACAGCGCGCAGCTGATGCGGAATTCAGCGTGCAGAATTCCGCGAACGCTCGAAACGCGCAAATCTCGAGATTCGGGCTGCGAAATTAATTTCATTCAGCGATCTCCCGTCTGATTGATTTCCATCGGACCTAACCCGGCTCAGCCGGCTGTCCGACATTGCTGGAGGGTTTCTTCTTTCCGCCTCGTATACCACCAGACGCTAATGAGACCGTGTTCATTAACATCGGCGCGGCAGGCCAATTGGAGTTTGCAAATGAACCTGTCCTGGTGGCCAAAGGATTCCGGGGGAACAAACCGGGGGGAGGGGGCCGGCTGCGGGCGATTCGTATTAAAATCGCTACGAGACCGAATTACCGCGGATTAAAATTGCAACGGGAGCGGATTAGCGCGGCGCGTTGAGGCAAGGGGAGGTGAGAGAGGAGCGAATCGGGCGAGGCGCATTTTTCACCGCGGCCGACGTCCCGTTGCCGTATTCCAGCGGAAAAGCGTGGCGACGCCGATCCGCTGTGCGCTTCCCGTCGCCCCTCGCAGCTGAGAAATAAGAGGGGCGACGTGGCGCTGGGATTCTTTCCGATAACGACCGCAATTTAGGCCGATAAAGGGAATCGACGAGGCCGCGCTTTATCTCCGCGCCTTCTGGCTCCGCTGTAATCAGTGTTTGTCAAACTGTCGTCGTCGTTGTCGTCGTGGTGGAGCGCGGCAGTGCCGGTCTCCGCTTCTGCGGGGGCCCTGGAGTGTAACGTGAGCGACGGGACCGATGTAAATTTGGCGCGATTTGTAGTCAAGCGTGTTTGTCTGGGAGACGGAGGGAAGAGTCGCGGCCGGCGAGCCTCGCGAAATACAACTGAACGCGGATTTTTGGCGGCGAGACATGCCAGGCTAATTTTTCACCGTTCATTGTGCGCGGCTGTATTTCACGATAGCGCCTCTTGTCTGTATTTCCGCCCTAATTTATAGCATGCGCGCACGCACGCGAGTAACATTTTGTGTTGCAGAGAGCTCCTCGTATCGTAGGCATCGTGATAGTAAGATTATCAATCATCAATTCTTGTTAAATCACAGTATTTCATTACGGTGCTCAGAGTTATCCCCAAGTAGGAGAATTTCCAGCAAAAACCGGTCGCTAGTCGGAGACTGGCCAGGTTTTATTGGCTAGGATTTATTAGACAGTAACTAGACAGGAAAATACTGTCCAGTATTCCTCGACCAGTTCCTGGTCAGAAACTAGACAATAAAAATGGTTGGTGAATTCTGGGCAGTTTCCGGTCTAGTAAAAACACGAAAAATACGAGTCAATGTCTCTTGGTTAGTTAAAAGAAAAAATGACAATTATAAATCAAATTGCAACCATCTCAATAATGCATGAATTTGTATTGAAAGACTCTACCTTCTGTAACACCTGTGTTACATAACTTTTTATATTGAATAATACAAATTATTTGGTAGAATTATTTGTACAAAAGAAGGTTTAGTTAGAAATTGGTCAGAAACTGGTCAGAAATTGACTAGTTTTATCGTCCGTTTATCCGTAACCAAAATAGAAAAAGAATCGCTCTTTCTGTTTGGGTCTCGACGATTCTCTGTACAAAACATTCGATTGTGAACTTGCAACTTTTTATCCAACAATCTTTTGAAACATTTTGCCAAGCTTTTGTAGCTCGTAAAACTTATCAGGTTTTCATGCAGAAAATCGCTTACGCACAACATAGAGAAAACACCACGACGTTTCAAAAACTTACGAGCTGTCTGTTTGTCGCGAGTCGGAAATTATTGATAAAAGTATCTGTAAGTAGAAATAAATCCGCCGATAATACTAAAATAATCTGCCTAGGGCGCCTCGGACGCTAAAGCCGTCACTAAGCACGTTGTGCTTGGGGAGAGGGAGGAGAGAGAAACCCGCCGGTTGCGCTAATCCGATTTTTCCGTCTCGCCGAAAATTTAGCGGCGCGCGTCGCACGGCAGGAGAGAAACGTCTCGCCTTCCTCCGGCCGCGTTAATCGATTTCTATTAGCGAGAAGCGCCGCCGTGAAGCCGCGATGCGCCGCTACCGCCACCGCTGTTAACGATAATCTACGCGATAACGACCGAGAAAGTCTGAAGCTTCGTTTCAGTTTCGGTCGCGCAACGGTTATCTCGCCGCGACATCGTGCAGCCGGAGTGTACTATCTATACCTCTCACGGTCGATGAAGTCGAGCATCGTGACTGCAAGGGCAAGTCACCAGACTAAACCGATACGATGACGGTGATTGACGAAAGCGCGAACTTAGGAATATAACGAAGCCGGGTTTTCGAGATTGGCCATCATCTGGTAAGAATAAGGATTAAAATTTTAACTTTAATTCCAAAATTTCAATATATATTTTTTTTATTTTAAATACTGCGAGATTATTTATTTTCTTTTATTTCATGATGCCGAAACTTGTAAATATAAAAATGTCAAATTGTCGAGATCAATAAGCGTCCTGGTAAAAGTAAGAATTTTAATTTTATTTTCATGTAATTTTAGTTTTTAACCCATCTTTAATTTATTTATCTTCAACTTAACTTTTATTTCTTATTTCACGCGTGCACGAACATGGAATCTCTCTTACACTTCTCTCTTCCTCTCTTTCTCTCTCTCTCTCTCTCTCTCTCTCTCTATATATATATATATATATATATATATATCGCTCTCTCAAGCGGCAAGCTTAGCAAACGCGAAATCTATCGATCCGCACATCTGCAGACTAAACATGCGAGCAAAAGAAAACGGATATTTATATCAAGATATTTATAGCTAGCTCTTTTTTCTGCTCATTTATTTAGCTTGCTAGACATTTATATCACTTTTTTTTCCTTCTTCCTCCACCTTTATTTGATCGTCATGCATGACGAGGTCGCATAACGCGCGCGCCGCTCGGCGGTCTCTCTCTCTCTCCGGCCGGGGAGGATGCAATTGCGAGATGCAATTGCAAATCGAGCGTGGGGTCGCGCGCGCGATGTGGTCGGGCGCGCACGGAAAGAAAAGACAGGCAATTAACGCATCCGCTCGGGCTCGCAGGAGCAATCGAGTTTACGAAACGAAGCGCCCGTAAATTCCCGCGGGGGCCAAGGGCCGTTGACGATGTCGGAGAGACCGGCGGCTCGCGTCGCGCGTCTTTTCCAATCGAGCGAAAAGCCCCGGCACGGATAATGAAACGTACACACACGCGGCCGAGCGATCGCCGTTCAAAACGACGGGACATAAATCCCGCACTTTCGCGTACGTCCAAATGATTGACAGCCGGCGACGCTACAGCTGTTGTTTATCGCGCGTACCCTCCGCTCCCCTCCTCCACTCCGCCGCCCCTTTTTTTCGGATAGATAGATGAATAGGACAGATACGATTATTTATTATGCGCCATCTCGACGCGCGATCGACGCCGCGAGCAACGAGCCGGGATGAAAAATTGGTCGCGCCGGATTGGTCAAGCCTGTCGGGGGCGTCGTAAATAGTGTCTCTTCTTTTTTCATTCTTTCTATCTTTTTTGCTCTCGTATGCGCGTTTCCAACGTGTGTAACTTGTTGTTCACGCTGTTACGTAATTATACCGCGCGGAAACGCAAAGGGTACGCGACACATCGAGCCGTGGGACGCAAGGACGCTTCGACACGACGCGTCGTGCGCGAAATAGCACAGTACACAACAGGAGGCCGATGTATTTGTCGCCGTTCGGCCGCGATACGTAGCTGTTGAGCAGGCAGCGCGACAGAAGTTTGATTGCGACGAATTAATTCAATTCGTAGCCGCGCGTCTGCAATTTTATGCATAATTACTGGTCGACGGGACGAGCATTTCCTGTGTCAGAGCGGCCGGAAGTGCATCGCGACAACTGCGCCGGTGATGAGTTTGTAACTATTACAATCTCATCCTGTTTCATTGGCTCTAGGAATAACAAAATAAAGAAATGTATAAACAGTGGCCAGTAAGAGTCTAACAGTTAATATTGCTGTATGGGTACATAAGTTTATTGTTATATAAATTCATTTTTGTCATGAAGCTGATTTATTCAGTGCATATCTTGAAACTAAAGTAAATTTATACTACAATAAATTTATCTTGAAACTAAAGTAAATTTATACGACAATAAATTTACTTAACCATAATATCGATTGTTAGGCTCTTCTTGATCATTATTCGTATTTTTCTTCCGTTTACCATTACAAGCGTTTGGAACTTCGCGTACAATGAGAGAGGAAATATAAAAAAAAATAATAAAAAATTATTCTTGCAAAGGTTATTGACAACGAGTCGCGCCTTTGATCGTAGATTTGTCTTTCAATTGAGAAGAAAGCAGTCGATTGTTCAACATAATACTCAATTAATTGATTAAATAAAGAGACATTTGCCTTCTTCAGCGGAAGCGAGGCAGTCTAAGTTCGCGAATGCAATTTGTTTCACGTCTTTACGACTATTTTATGCGGAGTTATCGACGAGCGGCGAAATCGTCAGATAAAGACCAAGGCCGCTCACAATGTTTTACGCGCTACTCGGAGAAGGGAGAGATATCAAGTGCGAGGTGTGAACGCACCATGCAATAATATGGGTGCTTGACACCTTTTGCAACGCGCTGATAAGGGTTCCACCATAGAAGGAGGAGGCGTACTAGATGGCGGCGGGACGCCGTGTGTTCGGGATCTGCGTATCTTTTCGTTCCACAGAGAGAAAAATATCGAAAGCGCGGTTTTTTTGCTAAGTCGGAACTCGAACCCGACCATTATGCAACATTCTTCGCGCGTACCAACTTTAGAAACGGCAAACTCTTCGAGCGGCTGTATCTCGGCGAGAAATAAACGTACGGATGTGAAACAAAAGGCATAGGGTAAACTCAGGTATGATGGCCATAGGCTGTAATTTCTCTAATAATTGCAAAACATTGCAATTTGTGTAATCAGTCACAAAGATAATCGATATTTATCGTAGTGTATATGCGTACATTTCTCAAAATAGCAAGATTATGAATATTATATTATATTTTTATTTTCGACTACCTGTAGAATTTCTCATGCATCCACTAAAACTTGCTGTAACGTCGAATAAATTACAGTTAAGCTATCGCAATTAACGTTAGATACATAAAGTAGGTATGCAAGTTGTAACATAACATGCATTTTTATTTTAGTTTTCACTATTTGTTTATAAGTACTATTATAACCGTCTTTCACTTACATTTTGGTAAGATGGCCCACTATCATTCTAACATTTATAAAACGAAGGTCGTTATATTTCAAAAATTACTTTCAATATTACAGTAATTAAATCTTATGTGCAATATGTTTTGATCAAAAATTGGATTTAGAACTTAAGTTTTGTAATAGAGATTTCTATTTTATATGTGTATTATATTTTTCACAAATAATATGTATTAAATATCCCATACTAAAATGAGTATATCAAATTATGTTTTTTTATTATTTTATAAAATAATAAGTGCAGAATCTTGAACATAAAATATGTATGAGTCATCTATTCTTTACGGCCATCTTGTCTTAAACATTTAGGTAAGATGATCAATACTCATGTTTTGATATTTTTGTAATAAATAATTTCACTGAAGTATTTTCCTTTTAACTCTGATGGTATAATGTTCTGTAGGCTTCAGTGCAGTGATGTGCCAAACTCTATTAAGAAATAACAATAAAAAATTTATTTTATTTGCATTTTAAAAAGTATGGTTATCTTATCCGAATTTACCTTACTTCTCGTTGTTCGACATGCGTTCGCGCTCGTTGCATGCTCTTGTCTTGACGTGTTTGATTACGATGTGAACGCGATATGTTTTGTGCAAAGATGCCGAGATATATTTAGAAAGTGGAAATAGAGCGAATGTCGAATTTGATCGCAATATGGCGCATTAATAGATTAGAATGCTAATTGATGAACGTAATCGGCAAATCTCTCAGTAATTAAAATTAATCAATCTTCATGTATAAAATCACGAATAATCGATCGATGAAATTAATTACTAATCAAATTCTGACTTCGTCAATTACACTCCGATTAATAATTAATTCATGAATCAATTAAATTATTGATGATTACATATATGACAATTGGTTTATTTTAATGATTAGTTTGCTGATTACTTTAGTCAAAGAAAATTTCATTCGCCTAATACTGGCGTAAAGTACAAAGTTGTGCGCGTTTTCACTCGACAATTTTCGTACGATATTTTTTGTGCAATCTGTCATTTATTCCCATATAACACGCGTGTGATTTGAGGAGGACTGATCAGTATTGTAATATTATTTTAATATCACAGAACCCACATTTGATATTGCGCGAGAAATTCACGCTTATTTGACGATTGATTGTGAATGCTCAGCCGAGAATTGATTGCCGATCTCGTATTATGGCCGGACTGTAATACTGCCGTGGTCTCCGCGGTGCTGGCTGCCAGTATCGGACCGAGATTGAAAATTGGCGTGTCTAGTAATATTAGAAGTCTAGTAATATTAGTAAATAATATTAGAAGCTAATAATAATCTGACAGATATATCTATGCAGATATAATCGCGCCTTAAATTAACGATCAGCGGTGATCATCGCGCGGCGGTCGACATGTAAAACGTCGCTCTTCCTTTTCTCTTTGAAAGCGTCGCATTACGTTGACTCGGCACGTTTACCGGCCACCACCGCCGTTACCACGATACGCGCTCGTGGAATTAACAACGACATTCGGGAACGATGGCGTGGCCGGATTACCGAATATCTGCGCTCGCAGTGAAATTATCCAGCCGCCATTAAACGCAGCGGGACGCTATCAGTCAATTTGTTTAATTTCTCACGACGTTAACACACCGCATTGGACGTTATTCACGACCGTTCTCGCGCCTACAACCGGGCTGGGATCAACGAAGATCCGTGGAGGGAGACGGGAGGATATGTGTGTGTGTGTGTGTGTGTGTGTGTGTGTGTGTGTGTGTGTGTGTGTGTGTGTGTGTGTGTGTGTGTGTGTGTGTGTGTGTGTGTGTGTGTGTGTGTGTGTGTGTGTGTGTGTGTGTGTGTGTGTGTGTGTGTGTGTGTGTGTGTGTGTGTGTGTGTGTGTGTGTGTGTGTGTGTGTGTGTGTGTGTGTGTGTGTGTGTGTGTGTGTGTGTGTGTGTGTGTGTGTGTGTGTGTGTGTGTGTGTGTGTGTGTGTGTGTGTGTGTGTGTGTGTGTGTGTGTGTGTGTGTGTGTGTGTGTGTGTGTGTGTGTGTGTGTGTGTGTGTGTGTGTGTGTGTGTGTGTGTGTGTGTGTGTGTGTGTGTGTGTGTGTGTGTGTGTGTGTGTGTGTGTGTGTGTGTGTGTGT